TGTGTGCACTATAATTTTTCTTCATTTCCACAGCCACAGACAGCAAGTTGGAGCAGCTGTATACAAAGTAAGACTGAATATCTGTCTGCTGAAGGGCTTATTTATGAAAACTATTTTTTGGTGTTTTGTTCAGATATTAAATCAATATTAAATTCTTTCTTTGTTCTTGATTGTTTTTCTTATCTTTCAGAAGATGCTGGCCTTCAGGAGCTTTTAGATGAACATAAGATCGATCTCAGGAAGAAATATAAATGTGTGACTGAAAGAGCTGATGAAACGGGCAGTGGAACTGTCTATCAGGGAATCTATGCAAAGTTCAATATCACAGAGAGACAAATTAAAACTGTTTATACCCAGCACGAGGTGAGGCAGCTAGAAATGGCTTCCAAGGAGAAACCCATGCATGACACTCAAATCAGGTGCCAAGACATTTTTGAAGCCTTACCTGAACAACAGAAACCCATCAGAGTGGTTCTGACGACTGGTGTTGCTGGAGTTGGAAAAACATTCTCAGTACAGAAGTTCGCTCTGGACTGGGCAGAAGGTTTGGAAAACCAAGACATTGATGTGGTGGTCTTGCTTTCATTCCGGGAGCTGAACGTGATCATAGATGACCGGTACAGTCTTCTGGAACTGCTTGATGTTTTTCATCCAATATTACGAAAGGTCACAGCAGAGCAACTCGCTGTTTGCAAACTTTTGTTTATCTTTGACGGCCTGGATGAAAGCAGACTTTCACTGAATTTCACTAAAGTGAAGCTCGTGTCTGATGTCACACAGAAGTCATCAGTTAGCGAGCTGCTGACAAATCTCATCAAGGGGAATCTGCTTCCCTCGGCTCTCATCTGGATAACTTCTCAACCCGCAGCAGCCAGTCAGATCCCTCCTACATGTGTTGACAGGGTTACAGAAGTACGAGGCTTCACTGACGCCCAGAAGGAGCAGTACTTCAGGAGGAGATTCAATGATGAAGAGCTGTCCAGCAGAATCATCTCCCACATGAAGACATTCAGCAGTTTCCACATCATGTCTAGAATCCCAGTCTTCTGCTGGATCACTGCTACAGTTCTGGAGCACATGTTGACTACAGGGAGTGCAGAATTATTAGGCAAGTTGTATTTTTGAGGAATAATTTTATTATTGAACAACAACAATGTTCTCAATGAACCCAAAAAACTCATTAATATCAAAGCTGAATGTTTTTGGAAGTAGTTTTTAGTTTGTTTTTAGTTTTAGCTATTTTAGGGGGATATCTGTGTGTGCAGGTGACTATTACTGTGCATAATTATTAGGCAACTTAACAAAAAACAAATATATACAGTGGGGCAAAAAAGTATTTAGTCAGCCACCGATTGTGCAAGTTCCCCCACCTAAAATGATGACAGAGGTCAGTAATTTGCACCAGAGGTACACTTCAACTGTGAGAGACAGAATGTGAAAAAAATTCAACCAAAAAAAATATGAGTACTATGAGGGACATAAAACACGTCCACAAAAACTGATGGAGACTGATGAGCAAGATATTCTGAAGCTGGGAAGCCTGGCGTTTGAACATCTAGAGAAAGGAAACATTGTGTTTTACCGAGAAGACATGGAGCAACATGATATCAATGGTGTAGGGGTCTCTTTGTACTCAAGAGTCTGTACAAATGTCTTCAAAAGAGAATGTGGTATCTTTCAGAAACCAGTCTACTACTTTGTTCATCTGAGCTTTCAGGAGTTTCTGGCTGCAGTCTACATGTTTCACTGTTACACCAACCAGAAGACAGAAATGCTTCAGAAGTTCCTTAGAAATGGTCTTTGTATTTATCCTTAATCTTTAGTATCTTATTCATCATCATCCACAGATATATTCTTTTTGGATAAATTTTTGTGGAGAGTCATGCAGAAATCCCTCGAAAGTAAAAATGGCCACCTGGACCTGTTTGTTCGCTTCCTTCATGGTCTCTTTCTGGAGTCCAACCACAGACTCTTAGGAGATCTGCTTGGTCAGACAGAGACAAATACGCAAATAAATGACAGACTCATAGACCTTTTCAATTCAAAGAATTCAATTCAAACAATGACACTAAACAGCTATAGAAAATTCAGAGGCCTGTGGGGTCAAACAGAGGAAAGACCCAGAGCATTATCAATCACCCAGCGAGTCATCAACAATGTGACGAGAATGAACATTTACAACATGTCTCCGGACAGAAGCATCAACATCATCTACTGTCTGTTGGAGATGAATGACTGCACATTGCATCAGGAAATCCAAGAGTTCCTGAGGTCAAAGACCAAATTAGGGAGAGCCCTCTCGGAGTCACAGTGCACTTTTCTGGTCTTAATGCTGCAAACATTTGAAGAGGTTCTGGATGAGTTGGATCTGTGGAAGTTTAACACAACATTGGTGGGAAAATGGAAATTGATTCCAGCTGTGAGGAACTGCAGAAAGGCTTGGTGAGACAAGGTGTGATTAACATCTTAAATCAGTGTTAATTAAGCTGTTCTGTTTTTATTGTTTTGTTTTTTTTTGTGGTTGATTATTTTTCTGTGTGTGTGTGTTTTATCTTTTTTATTTATCTTTTGTAGTGATAAAAGAATGAGGGTATTGCATAATGTACAATGATATAAGGCTAAAGGTTGTCCTTGTTACAGAAATTATTGCTATTATTTACATTTATTTTGCCTAATCCATTATTTGAGAAAGAATACTGTTAGACCTGGCCGCTCCCTTAGATAGTGTGAGGTTTTCGGCCATTCTGGGTGGGCTCAGCATAAGTGGATGGATGCAGTAATAAAAAAATGTGACTGTGGTTGTCATTGTTGTGGTTGTTTGTTTTGTCTTTGCCTTGTTGTTGCCTTGAGTGTTATTGACTAAGTTTTTAGGTGCAATGTCATTTTGGGTGACTTAGCATCAGAAGGCCACCATTGCATCACTTTTTCTACCTAATTCAAATCTACATGATTATCATGTCTGCATTTGTACACCTTTGGGCCTTTAGGGCAAAGGACAAGGGAGTGAACTGATGAGGACATCTAGTGGGCAAATAATATAAGATAACCACAGATTTGTGCGTGAGCACCCCATTTCCACATGAAATGTATGAAAAATGTGCTATCTTTATAACAAATTTTTAAAAATGTATCTGTCATTGTAGACTTTCTGGATGTCAACTGTCACTGACTCACTATGAAACCATAGCCTCAGCTCTAAAGGCCAAGAACTCCCATGTGACAGAGCTGGACCTGAGCTTGAATGTGATGCAGGATTCAGGAGTGGATCTGCTGTCTGCTGCATTGAAGAGCCCAAATTGTAGACTGGAAACTCTGAGGTCAGTTTACTGAATGTGCCTTAGTTTGAAGTGTTAAGCAAGTCCCTTATAAACTGACACCTATGCTGTGTGATGAATGTAATGTTCCCTGTCTCTGCCCCCCTCCCCCGTGGTGATGCATTGGATATATTTGTGGCCTAGTGTGATATTTTATGTGTTAGTAATCTCTGTTTTCAGTACTTTCAGTACTGGTTTTCCTTTTAGATATGGCTACTGAAGATTACTTTTAGTTAGAATGCTCTGCCTCCAGTGTCTTTCACATTGGGTCCTTTACAATCCATACACCAAACCAGTAGTCGAGGATAAAATCAACAATTCTGTTTTCTAGGTTAAAAAAAGAAAAGAAAAAGGTTACCTCACAGTAATCTGAGATAGGAAAACCTGAGGGCCATATAGCTTTTGTTCTTCAGCATGTAGTCTGTGTTTGTGGCAATTGAAGTCTTCTTTCTGGTTAGAGGACTGTGTCAGATGTCTGAGAGTGATTTGATTTTGTTCTTTTTGATGAGCTTCTAATTTTTGTTGTCATCATTTTGTTTTTAATAACTTGATATTGGAAGTAGCTTTGCTTTCTCTTTAAGTTTAGTTTTTAATTGTAAACAGAACCTGCTTTTTCATGTGGACTTTTTAAACATTATTATTATTGTTACTTCCCCACATTACCGGGTCCCACGCTAACAAAAGACTCTTTTTTTTTCTTCCATATACAACTTAGTTGAGGTAAGTGTGTTTGTTTGTTTGTTTTTAATTCAGGTGTCCTATGGCTTCTTATTTTTATGGACAATTTTGCTGTGTTCAAAATTTGTCGTAGTTTAGGGTGAAGAATGTAGGTGTCTGTCACAAAACGGCTGTGTGTAGGCAGGAGAGGACCCAAATGCAAAACTCACCGAGATGGAACGTGAACTCAAAAGCACAGCTTTATTGCTGAAAACAAGGCCAAACGATACAAAACTAAACTTGGAAAACTAATAATAAATCGTACGCGGGGGGGGAGGCTAATCATACACAGCTATGAGGGAGGATGCAACACTAACAAAGAGAAACACAGGGCTTAAATACACTGAGGGATAACGATGGAAATGAGACACAGAAGGAGAGCACAGCTGGGAGTAATTGGACTGGATAAGACAAGGGAAGCAAAACTAGAAACAATGACATGAGACACATACCTTCAAAGTAGAACAGTAAACACACAAACTAAACTCTAGACATGTAAACTTGACTAGACTGGGGAGACAGAACATAGGGACCTGGAACATGGGAGAGAAAGGCACAGTAGACATAAGACAGAACACAGGGGAGCCATCACACAAAACCTAAGAACTAAACCCGTGACAGCCGTAATTGAAACCTAGGGAAATGACAATAATCAAAATGGTACAACCAAGGACTCAGAAAATTATATATATATATATATATATACACTGTAAAAACTGTGATTTTGGTTAATTAGTATCTAATAGGAAAGTAATAGTAACTATTACTCAGTAAAAACATGTATGTGGTGTTTTAATTAAATCTAAACAAAATTAAACATTTTTGAGATGTTCAGTTATTTAAATTTTCACAATTTTGTTTGGGGTCAATTAAGCAATAGTTTTGTTGAGCAGATTTAACAAAAATGTATGAGTACCGTGAAAAATGAAGAAATCTAATAGATTTAACTAATGAAAGCATTTTCATTTCAATCATTCTACACTTCCGCCCGTAGTCTGTTGTGCCATGTGCAGGACACACACGGTTCAGCAGTGGATGATCTCCATTTTGTCTGAGGTAAGATTATCTTCATTTGTATGAATATACAACACGTTTTAAACAATAACGTATAGCAGTTTTAAGTTAAAGTTCTAAACAGTATGATACGTCAAAATTAGATTAATAATGACCACTGTAATGACAGTATCGTATTTTTACGCAAAATAGCACAAAGTGGACTGTTAGCATAAGATCACTTTCCAAGCTTTTGTGGCTGTGTTACTTCAGAGCTTTGACTAACCACATGTTTTATCATATTAAAACATATATTAATGATGTATTTCGATGGGCTGTAACCTCCCTCATTTACATCACTCAGTGATGTAGTTAAAAAAAATTGTGCGGGATTTTGTCAGTCACAGTTTTTTGAAGCTTTTGTCTCCACGCAGTGTTTTTCAGTTGTGGTAATTAAGCTAAAGTGGCTCACTCCAGCAACATAACTGGTTTACATTTTCATGCTGTCGGAGCCCTGTGACTTTAGTGCAGGCACAGCTCACATAGAGGGATGATGCGAGTTTCCAGTTAAACTTGGTTGGTGTATCAGGCTACGTCCACACGTACCCGAGTATTTTTGAAAACTGAGATTTTTCTATGCGTTTGGACCTTTCGTTTTATATGTGAACCTCACCTTTAAAAATTTTAGTATTAATTCAAATTTGTCTTTAACAATTTGTGTGTGTAAAATTTTTACTTCAGAGAGTGTGATTGTTATTAATGTTGTCTGCTTTTCAGTTGCTGGAAGATCCCTCAACTTAAATTCAGCTGATCAGTATGTAGACTATGAATTTTAAATAGGTTGTGATGGATGATTGTATTGAATTAAACTACTAGTTTTGAAATTGAAGCAGAAGAAATTGACTAAGTTGACCCTATTTAATATAAGTTAACTCTGCCCATTTACATTTTATTCTAGGTTGAACGAGATAGAGCTCCATGTAATCACTGATGACCAAATCGAGAAGTTGGTTCTTCCATCAGGGATCCCACCAACAGTAGGAGGAGCTGCAAGGTGTTGTGAAGGATACCTTTGGGATTTCAAACGACTTCAGTATTTTAAACCAAAATTTCAGGACTACTTCACTATTCGCAGAAGTGACCAGATAAAAGACAAAGACACTGATCAACTGTCAGCTGACTATGACTCATCATCCAATCCAGTTGTATCCAATGCAGACTCTGCTGCAACCACTTCTCGGGACACCATTATTCTCAAAAGGCAGAACTTTGTGAGACCTGGCCAAAGCTGTTCCCTATTCCACAGTCAGCATGCAAAACTGAAATGTAACTGGAAAGAGCCACTGAGGAGTATAAAAAGAATGGAAATCTTCTACTTTTCCAAAGTAAAGACGGACCTTCTTGAGGAGTTGGCTGAAACTGTATTTCTAAGTATGACCTATTCTTCCTATTATATTATTATTATTATTATTATTATTATTATTATTATTATTATTATTATTATTCTTCCAAGCACTAGTGAAGAATTTCAGTGCATGCAATCTAAATTAATCAGAAAAATGTTATATTATAAATGTTTTATACATTTTATATTCCCTAATAAAAGCAATTACTGTTTGAATGTTCTCTTTGTGAAATTGATTCATTTTACTCAGAAAAGTTAAATTAATTTGATTTTCTCTTACTATTCAGTCATTATTTATAAAGTTTAATTGGAAAATTATTGAATCCAATTTGAGTTTTACTTAAACACAAAAGGTTTTCATTTCTTTGTAATGGATATTTTAGTCATTTTTTTACTAAACCTTTGCCAGATTGTTAGTAAATTCAAAGTAATTTTTCCTCAGATATTAATTTAAAATGAATTAATTTTTTGTTACAATTATGCAATTTTAACCTTCAATTTGAGATTTTGTCCCTAAAGCCAACACATATTTACAAGTGAATGTATATATTGTAATATATCTATATCATGGTTAAAGCACTTCTGGATGGATGCAAACTGCATTTCATTGCCCTGTACCTGTGACATGTGCAATGACAATAAAGTTGAATTCTATTCTATTCTAAACTGAAGGATTCAGATGTGGAGCTGCTTTCTGATCTAGCCAAAAATCCACACTGCAGACTAGAGTGTATGAGGTCAGTAGAGGGTGTACTCCATCTTTGCTTCAGAAGTATTGTGCTAAAGAAAGTTAGTATGAAAGCAAAACTCCTGTGTTTTCTGTAAAACTTTTCAGTGCCTGCTTGATTCATTGAAGATGTAAGAGGAGACAGACGACATTCGACCAGTCAGATGAGCCAAAAATCTTTTTGTGATCAGGTGTTTAAGTTCTGTGAAGATAATTAGTGTTGTGTTCATGTCTACAAGAAATAAAGCTGGATTCTAACTGACAGCCATACAATTTGAATCAAACTCTCCAATCTGATCTCACATATTTTTGTATTCATTTTAACACCAGATTAGCTTCATCTTCGTGACAGGTCTGAGATCAATTTGACTGAAGCAGAGAAATTAACTGGGTGCTATTTAAGAGTACATTTATTAGCATGCAGAACGGAAGCTCTGCTACTATTTTATATATATTTTATATATTAAAAAAATTATATATATTTTATATATATTTGTCCTTCTCTTAGGGGTTTCATCCAGATAACTTCAGGGACAGTCTCTGTTTATTAAAAAGTGATGCAGAAATAGATGAGATGTTCATGAAAACACAGAGAGCCATCACTAAAGTGTTGGTACAGTAATAAAGTAAGTATAAAGTATAAGTATAAAGTGTTTCTAGTTCTGCATATTAAGTCCAAAACTGAGAGGAAGGCACGCAGCTGCTCCACCACAACCAAGTCCCTGCTGCTCTTTTTGCTGGATTTCCTGCAACACTGACTGACAGCTGCTGAAGAGAGCCTCTGTAAACACTCATTTATCATCTCTGTTCTTTTATCCTTTGTTCTACAGCTGGAAGTGAAGTTACCAGGGCTAAGAAAGGACAGCAGCAGCTTGTGTTTGGGGAGATGTTCCAACTGGTCATTGTTACTGGGAAGTGGAGTGAAAAGCAGAGTTTAATCCAGCAGTGACTGACAGAGGAATGAGAAGCAGTTCAGATGACTGTTAGTGCTGCAGAGTGAACTGCTGTGGGAACAGCTCTGCTGTCAGACACAGCAGAGTCCACCATCATTCCTGTGTCTCCCTCAGCAGTATGTCTGGACTGCTCTGCTGCTGCTCTGTCCTTCTACACACTCTCTGCAGACACACACTGACTCCACCCCCTCTGCTCCATATTCACCTGCATTTTATTTCATCTATTTTATTCATTTAAGTATTCTTTAAAAAAGTCTCTGCAGAATATTTCTGTTTATGACACAACACTGAGAATCAGTGTGCTTTGAACTAGTGTAGGCTGTGGTTGTGGTTGTAGTGTTTTGAGCTGCAGCTTCACCCTGTGGAATGATGGGGAACTGTGGGGAATATTTATACTTCAGAGCTTGTACAGTGGTGTGAAAAAGTGTTTGCCATTGCTTTTTCACATGGGGCCGTGTAGATTTGAAAATTTTCCCCCCTTAATAATAAACACCTTCATTTAGAAACTCATTTTGTGTTTACTTGTGTTATCTCCATCCATCCATTCGCTTCCACTTATCCTTTTCAGGGTTGCGGGGGCGCTGGAGCCTATCCAAGCTGCCTTAGGGCGAGAGGCAGGGTACACCCTGGACAGGTTGCCAGTCTTTTGCAGGGCTAACACATGAACAGAGACAACCATTTGCACTCACATTCACCCCCACATTCACAATTTAGTGTTTCTAATTAACCCAACCCCACTGTTATGTTTGTCTAATATTTAAATTTGTTTAACAATCTGAAACATTTAAATGGACAAATATCCAAAAAGATTAGAAAATCAAATATGCAAACACTTGTTCATACTACTGAATTTGCAGATTGTCATTCCTGTCAGTGCAGGATTATTTCGATTTTCATTTTATTTTTCCAATTAGTTTTTATCTATAGTCTCTATAAATATGACGACAGCTCTACCAGCAAGTTGAGCAGTGAAACAGTAAGATTCACAGCAGAAGAAAAGGACAGTATGAAAGCTGGCTTTTTTCATATTTAAAAATTTATATGATGTCAACTGTTTTATAACAGGAAATAAATAGTTATAATATTGTCATGGTTACCTGTTGCCTCTTTACTCACAGTTTACTAACACATAATCAGATGTGCCCATTATATTTGTTCATCTTAATGTTTAATTTTTGTACCATCATCAGTTTTACTTGTAAATTCTGATGCTGTGATAATATGTATTAACAATATAATGCTAAGAAAAATGATTTAATTTTGAATAGTAATGATTATTTAATGATTTTCTTTTGGGAAACGTTATCAAAAATGACTCAACAGTCACTACTGCAAACCCTGAATCTGAATTTGAAAAAAAAAAGTGACATTATAAATATTTGTGACTTTGTTAAACACATCAATGTGAAAAAAGCCTGAGAGCCATAAATGTTTGTCAGAAGAAAATTGTATATAGTGTGATCAGCTTCATGAAATGTGTTCTTTTATTGAACACTAAGCAAATGTCTATGTGACTTTTGACATGAACTCTTGTGTGATAAACAACTAACAGCTTCCTCTTTTCTAAGAACATACAGTCTTAGAAAAGGGGAACCTTTTATTGTAACAAAGCTTTTTGGCAATACCCCTTTTTTTATTCATTTATTTATTCTGTTTATTTCCCCTTAAATTGAGCCTTATTTGTAAGGAAAACACATTTCTGGGATGAGCAGCGGAGATGAGTATGTGGGCCGTGCCCATGAATGACTTGACAAATCTCTGCCAAACATCTTGTTTTAAGCTTCTGGCAGCTGACAATCAGGTGATTAGCATGGACTCGGCTACAACTGTCAGTTGTTGTCTCCTCTAAGCATCCCACGTTTGACTGATCTGGATTGAGCTGGAGCCACAGAGCAACTTCAAGCTGGTGTTCCACAGCAGCATCTCCAAACTGAAGGTATTATTTGTATTATTATTTCATACTTTACACTCCTGGTGATGAAGCAAAGTCCAGACAGCCAGAGCTAGAGTTACCTTGTAGTCTCTTATAGTCACCTATATTATATTATATTATATTATATTATATTATATTATATTATATTATATTATCCATTTTCTTCTCCTTATCCAATTTAGGGTTGTGGGGAAACTGCCATAGGGCAAGAAGCGGGATACACTCTGCACAGGTCATCGGTCTGTAGCAGGGGAACACAGACCAACCATTCACACTTACATCTACAACACCTACAGCCAATTAAAATCACCAGTGAACCTAACAAGCGCGTGTTTGGACTGTTGGAGGAAACCAGAGTACCCGGAGAGGACCCAGCCAGACTCCACACAGAAATATCAGCCATGATGGTGGATTATATGATATAATATGATATGATAAATACATTCTGGGATCAGGCTAGTGACTGAAAAATTACAATTTTATTGCAGTCATTTAAAGTAAAACGATGTTCTGGGTAAACGATTTGTTGCATTATTGCTAACATAGGTTTTTATAAATGTAATTCTATTAATCGGTAAACAAAATAATGGCGAAGATGACTGAAATCATTCTAATAGTATTGAGATTAATTTGAGCGCTGATATTCTTAAGGACGAATCCTCGTCTCCTCTCCACGCCTTCTCTCCTCCCCTTCGTCTCTCTCTTCATCCTCGCCAGCCTTCATCCTCCACCTGAAGCTGATGTGGACACAAACACTATTCTTCCTTTGATGTTAGAGGGAGAGAGTCCTCTGCTTTTGCTCGCATCTAACGCGGTTGGAGAACGACTCTTCGTTTTTCGGCCAGGCCGCTTTAGGGCACGGCAGGGCGGAGAAGGAGCGACGCGGGGTTCGGTGCCGGAGCGGGTCTGCGGAGCTCTGGCAGCGGCTGCTTAATGAAGGAAAGAGCCGCGGGCTGATTACAGCACCGAGACAAGCTGCAGGAGGAAATCCGAGGAGCTGATTCTTTCAGAGTGAGCTGCAAAGGAGCATTCACCATGTTTCTGTCCGTGTGTCTAATATGGACACAGCTGCTGCTCACAGGTAAGCGCCTGCTGTGTGTTACTTCACAGTGATCCTGTTTCGGTGATTAAATATGTTTCTACAGTCCAGCCTGTAAACATGCGCGCAGATGGTGCTCACATCTCCTCTAATGTGCGGTTTGCTTGTTTGATAGCTGGCTGAAGGTCTTCCAGATAAAATAAGAAAGAAAAACTGCTAGCGTCCTTAATAGGATTTTACCCAGTGCAGGTGATGTTATATCAACTGCAAATACATAGTTTAAGTCCTTAAGCTGACATTCCTCAGAAGAAGTGCTTAAGTCTTCCACAGCATGTGTGCTGTACACATGTAGAGGAACAAAAACATAGAAAAGACTTTTAAATATTGTCTGTACAGAAGTGTTGAATATAGATGACTCTATTGCTGCAAATACTGCAAAAATAGGCTATGATAGAACCCATTTCCATTGCTGACTCATATAGTTTTCCAGTATTTTCTAGTGCAGATGCTATATCATTTTCACAGAGCAACATTTTAATAGTTTCTGTTTAATAATGTTAATCCCAGAATGACACACTGAAGTGGGGTACTGTGATTTTGAGCATAGCATTTTAAGACCTGTGCTTGAAAAATTTTTTTCCATTTAATAATTTCTGTATCAAAAGGATTGCATTTAAAAATATTCCATTTCTATAATAGAGTCATCTGAAGCTGCGGCAGAAGGTGCTGGCATCCTCACTGCACCTTCCCGGCTGTTTTAATGACGCAGTTCCTGAGCAAAGTCTCAAAATTGAATCTAGGTCAGAGTAAACCACCAGACTGTGTCCCTCAAACCTGGGCTCCTAATTGGCAGCTGGACAGCTGCTGTGTTTTACACATGAGGTTGTATAGAAATTCAAGAAGATCGATGGCTCCCACACTGCAGGGATTCACTTTTACCTGTGCACCACAGACAGATGCATTTCAGTATTGCTACATGATATGACTGGTAGAAGCAGGTGCTGGGCTGGAAACAAGCGCACAGCTGAAGAATAAGATCAGCTACTGGCTCACTGCAGGGCTCCATTTTTACCAGGCTGAGGTAAAACTGGAGCTCTGCAGTAAGTGAGCTGTGGAGCATTTTCCTCTGTTGTGAGGTTGTTTTGGCACAAATGCTGCCCTTTTTGGCATGCATATGTAAGTGCTTTTCTTTTTTGTAAACTAGAAACTTCTCGGTTCAGATTCCTCCAAGTACAGTTAGGTTCCTGCTGTTTAAAGACAAGTTTTTAATTTGGCTAAAAATGTATCATTGCTCCTTTGATTTGGCTCCATACGAGCATCCCTTTGACTTTTCTGTCTGACAACGGGCATGAAGCCTCCTGGGGGAAATGAAAGCTCCTAAACAGGAAGAAGATTGCACTTTTGTTTTCCTGGAAGCTGCTTTTAGATTTCCCCAGGCAGGTGAAATGGATGCTGCTGGAACGACTGGAATAACTCTAATAAAAGGTAGAGGGAAATGGGTTTGCTTTTTGAAGTAGTTTAAGAGTTTCATAGGAAAGGTTTGGTGTTCTTCGTTGGGTTTCTCCAAATTTGAGAATGGATTTAGGAAAGGTCTAACCAGAAGAAGGGGACTCAATCGGGATCCAGAAATTTCTGAAAGGATTCTTTACCAATACAAGAGAGTGGGCATGATTAAATAAGAATGACAGAAGAAGAAAATATTACAGACAAATCCAGATCCAGATATTCGTCTTGTTCCAGGGACTTAGCTCATTCATGTTCTGAAAAGAATTTTACTGCCTTAAAAATTGTAAAGAGTCCTGATTCTGCATCACTGCTTGGATGTAAACAAAGATGGCAATAACATTGATATCTCACACCTTGAATGGGATTACTATGAAGCTTTTAAGGCAAAGAAAACTAAAAGTAAGCACTTTTGAAACATCTTGACATAGGAACACTGAGATCTCCTGAGACGCTGGTATTGTGCGACCACGTTGGTTTGAGACTGATGGAGTTTTGACTATAGTGTGAGATCTGTAATCTTCATAATTTGATATTTGAGAGGTACATAGCTTTTTACAGATTTGTGTACATCACCTGTTGGATGAGCACTTTTTTTGTCTTCCTTCTTTTGGCCCTTTCAGGGCAGATCAGTGTTTGGTGTCTGTTGATTTTGGCAGACTTTGTTGACCACAAACAGTTGTGGTCTCTAAAGCTAATTGGAGCCTGTTGTGGCCTTCTTACAAGTATCTGATCAACAATATGACCTATATGCAGTGAAATTGTAGAATTTTATTTGGATGTTTTCCAACCTTCTAACCAATTTTGCTCACTTCGCTGATAACCTTGCATGGCACTCATCACAGATATGGTGACTAGGTCCAATAAAACATGATGGAGGCCCAAATGCTAAAGGTAAGGCTTCAAAATGCGGAGCTCAGAAACAAAAGGGTGATGTCACAGTGGCTACATCCATCTTTTCTATACAATCTGTGTTATAGACCCCAAATGTTCCAGTGGGTACATTCCTACCCGCTGCAGTGGGAGCTTTTTTTTTTTTTTTTCTTTTTTTCAAGACAAACATTGGATGGAAATAAAGACAGAAGACAAACACGATACTTAACTTGAAACAGATTTATTTTACAGTAACAAGAAGTCAACATCCTTGTGTCCTTGTTTTTTCTCATTTAAACCTGTTAATGAATTTTAATAGTCATAACTTTAAACATCTCTCCTCCTCTCTCACACACGCGCATACTGAAGACTTTGCCCTTGCTCTAATTTGACCTGTGATTTGCTGGTAGTCTCATGGAAAAGAGGCAGAGCCGGCTCCTCTGTCCAATCCGAGCACAGCTCAACTCAGCATTGTGCATGGCAACCAGGAAGCTGTCACTAGGGAAAAAGATGCCAAACAGAGACGTGAAGAGCCATGTCAGCTTCCCGGACGCCTGAAAGGCCTGCTTCAGTTTTTCATTTCAGCTGAGACCTGATTTATTGTTGCAGCTTCCTGTTGCTGTTAATGTTTTACAGCAAAATTCAACATGTTTCTTTTATTTTTAATGAAACCTACTTTCAGACATGTATTTTCCAGATAAAATTGAGACTATATCAGGTCTCTGTTCCTGGTTTCTGTCTGCATTTGTTGACTCACAGAAAACAGGTTTTTGGCACCGATACAGCAGAGAAAAATAATGTTTGCAGACCGACAGCAGTCGGAGGACACCTTCTTTTCCGTGTCTTTGCTGCCAGAACAAACATTGGAGTCTAGCAGACGGCCGGACGAACAGTCTGTCAGCTCAGGCTGAAGCTGCAGGAGAAATTTCCAGCATCATCTGCTCACTCCTCCTCCTGCAGACAGTGAAAATAACATAAGTGATGCAAGCTAGCGTTATAGCTAGGCAGCAGAAAAACCTAACAAATTGACTTTAATAAATAAAAAGATGGACAATACACAAGTCTATCGCTGTGAATATACAGAGTTTCATGCACTTGGCCTCTTGTGTTGGTTAGACATGATTAGTCATATTAAAGTTTAATTCTTGAGACTGATGGTGAATTATGCAGTGTTCGTATTTATCACAGATGGGTGGGTTCAGTCAGTGCACAGGGGTTTCCTCTCAGCCTGCCTGACTCATGAAAGTCTCTGTCCTGCCCAATGAGCTGGGATGGCAGAGGTAGACAGATGGGATCTCCTGCACTCATTTTGTCTGCTGCTTTCTCTTCATCTCTGTGAGAGATACTGAATGTGATGTGTTGGAGAACGACATGATGAAAGATAAGAGGCATGAGGAGGAGGACACAGCAGAGGATTTTTACAAGAAATAGATTTTTGAACTGTAAAGCCTTTGTGCACGTCTTCTTTCTCAAGTCTCGAGTGAAAAGCTTTGGATAAATGCCAGCACACAGATTACTTTGAAATTTTTTTTTATGAGTAATTAAAATCTACTAAAGAACTATTAACATTAATTTAAATTAATTATTGTAAAATAACGCTCATTCTCTGAAATTATTTTAACTAGCAACTGATTTGACGCTTTCCTACTTCTGTGGACATTATCCACATCTTTACAATAAAAATAGAAAAAGTATTTTTATTTGTGAAGTCCAAAAAATTGCTCATCTAATTCCCACTTATGTCAAATGTGTCATGTTCATGGTTTTGCAATTAATAGTTTTGGTCTCTTTAGCTGATTTTATCCATCATAACAAATGTAAGGAGGTAATGTTTTTATAACTCACCTGTTTAAATCGCATTAACCTTTAAATTTGCATCATGGCAAAGTTGCATCGGGGCGATCGTGGCTCAAGAGTTGGGAGTTCGTCTTGTAATCGGAAGGTTGCCGGTTCGAGCCCCGGCTTGGACAATCTCGGTCGTTGTGTCCTTGGGCAAGACACTTCACCCGTTGCCTACTGGTGGTGGTCAAAGGGCCCGGTGGCGCCAGTGTCCGGCAGCCTCGCCTCTGTCAGTGCGCCCCAGGACAGCTGTGGCTACAATGTAGGTTGCCATCACCAGTGTGTGAATGTGTGTGTGAATGGGTGGATGACTGGATATGTAAAGCGCTTTGGGGTCCTTAGGGACTAGTAAAGCGCTATATAAATACAGGCCATTTACCATTTAAAGGCGTGGCTTTGTGACTGACAGGTGAAGTGTGACTCAGACGGCTGCTAGCTGAGTGCTAAGCTTTTCCAGCATTTTTAGTGCAATTATCTGACCAATAATATGTCTGCTGTCAGGTTAAATGCACTAACAGTCCATTCAAGAAGGTTGTGCTCCAGTTTATGTGAGTAAGGAGGATTTATTTTAGATGTTACTTAGTGCTACCTAGTAAGCTCTATTTGTGCATTGCACAGACCTGCTAGCATTAACGAATATGTTCGTTAATCTGGTCACTTCTGGCTCCAAAAAAAAAACAACATGGAAAAAAACAACATGGCGGGACCCAAAACACTAATGTTGAGGCTTCCAAACCAATGGATGAGGTATAGCTTTAGAAAAATACTTTAGTTTAAGACTATCCACTATCAGCCAGCAGGCCACAGCCAGGCTCCACCATCAGCCA